AGCGTTTCCTCTCGTATTCTGGGCGTTCGTTCCGCCTTTCCCTCCCTCAACGACGTCGCGTATCGTTCGAGTTTGTGGGACGCGCTCACTGGATTTGGGTCAGTAATCGGGCTGTTTGCAGAGCTCTCAGAAGTGGAGCGCGTGCCGTCGGCGCGGCGGCAGAATAACTGGACGGTGACGGTATTTCAGCGAATGAGCTCGGCAAAGTCGAGAATTGCGTGCATACAAGTGACGTCGCAGTTTTCTTGGGAGAGAGGGAGAGAGGAAGAGGAAGCCCCTCGTTGTCCATCTGACCTCCACGCGGAATGTGGCAGGGATGGACAGAGGGAAGACTTACGTGACGTCTTGGCGCTGATTGGATGGCAAGGACGACATAAGAGCGGGGGGGGTGGGAGGCTGAACGTAACCTTGGGAAGGGTTTTGCGCAACAAGACAGTTGCATAGAATCATGGTCTTGCTCGCCCATGGACGGCAAATATCACGCCGTTATGTTTTTCCGCCCAGACCGATTGCCATTGCCGAGTCATTTTTGGTTGACGTGGAGTCAAAAAGCTGTGTTTGGCGTTTAGGTTCGGGCATCACGCATCATCTCATTACTAACCACCAGCTGCACCATGTCCATTGGAGGTCTGGTCATGAAGATAAAGAGCTCAGCGAATCGTAAACGACAGTTGGCGGTAAACGTAAATGCGCAAAAGTCATCCTGATGGCCGGCGGGACTGCTGGTTTTCGGCCGTCACCGGCAGCCGACGATAACAAGCATCTCCCATTGACTGGCGGGCTGCCGGCCGGCTGTCACCGGTCCGGCGCAGGACGGGCTCCGGTCCTGTCACTGACGTACGCTAACGACCGCCGGTCACGCCGCCGACCACGTGCAGGGCATTTCCCGAACCACTGCGCACCGTAGGCCACCAGTCGAGAGTCTCAGCGCCGCGGGGGACCTAGCACCGCGGAGCACCTAGCGCCATGGGGACCTAGCGTCGCGGAGGACCTAGCGCCATGGGGGACCTAGCGTCGCGGAGGACTTAGCGCCATGGGGGGACTAGCGTCGCGGGGGGCGTAGCGCAGCGCAAGGACCCAACACAGCGCGGGACCCAGCGTCTTGAAGGACCCAGCGCCTTGGAGGACTCAACATAGTGCAGCAACCCAGCACAGCGGGGGACCGAGCGCCACGGTGTGGAGGGTAACGGAGCAGAGCTCCCAGCGCAGCAGGGCTCCCAGCGCTGCGATGCTTCCAGCGCGGCAGGGCTCCCAGCGCTGCGAGGGTTCCAGCGCTGCGAGGCTCCCAGCGCGGCAGGGCTCCCAGCGCTGCGAGGGTTCCAGCCCTGCGGGGCTCCCAGCGCAGCAGGGCTCCCAGCGCTGAGAGGGTTCCAGCCCTGCGGGGCTCCCATCGCAGCAGGGCTCCCAACGCTGCGAGGGTTCCAGCGGAGAGGAGGCGGCGTCGACTCACCGAGTCATCTGTTGGTCGCCGGCCGCACGCGCTGTCGGTCCGCCGACAGCCACCGGCTTGTGAGCTGCACTTGCAGCCGTTTCACTAATCTCGGTGACGGCTAGGAAGGCACGTAACGTGATGCAACGCACGCGTGCCACACGTCACTTGTCGGGCGAGCTACCGGTCGGCGCCGAGTGCGTCAGATGCAGTGTTTGGGCTGGGACGCCGCGCCGTGGCCTTGTCTCGGTGCGCAGGACGCCTGAGAGTACACCTTGCAACTGCTCGGTGGCTGCCGCTTCCGTGTCCCGCTAGCTACGTGGGGAGTTCCGTGTCCCTGTCTGCTGCCATGGCTGAAGGACAGCTCAGCTGACTTGCCAAGGCCTAGACTGATTCGCGGAATTAGTTGCTCTGATTAAGCGTTCGTGTTAGTTGTTATATTGTTCTCAGTTCTCAGTTCGAGATACGCTATCAAACTGCCGATTGACCTGATCCTGAGCACGTGCATTCTTAACGCGAAGTCACTGCTGATGACTATCACGTGATAGCAATATTGGCCACCATTGATGACTTTGGGTCCGTTCCGTAGCTCGACAAACCAAGCGCAACACGCGGACCTCGCCGCCGAAACCGCGATATCGCGCCGCAGAATGGAGCCGAGACGTCAGCGCCGCGGCTATCTTATCGCGCCACACGCTTGGGAGGACGCACGGGGGGAGTGGGGAGTACAGAGCCACAGAGCCTTCTCCGTGTCGCGATGACGGCGGGTGCGCGCGCCGCCGCCGCCGATGATCCGTGGGCGGCTGCGTTTCACTTTCGTCGGTGGTATTAGCATCGGTAGCCGGAATCAGGCCGGAGGGAAGCTCCGTGGGCCCGCGCGGCCGGCGGTCTTGTGACCGATGACGTCACAGCGGCGCGGTGAGCTTTCGTCGTGCGCTGATCGATCGGCGATGCCTCTGGTGACTGCGAGCACTTTCGCTCGCGTCAATTGGATGATTGTAGGTATGATGTGCTTGCTACGATCGGTTAGTGACTTTGCATGCTGCTTATTTATCTTTAAGTATGAATATCTACGTGCAGTAAGGTCGTGTCTTAACACGTGCTCGGGTGGGGGTCAAATTGGCCCGCTTGAAGGTTTTTCCAGAGTAGTTTCTGAACAGCGCGGCGCAGCCGCGCCAAATGTTGCATAGCTAAAGACAATTTAATTGTGGGATTAGCGGATTTCGTACAAGCGGATTGGTTAGTAATAATAACTTAGATATACCTTGTAAGTTTGCTGACCTACGGCAGGTCAAAGGTAAAGAAACGTCAACACTTGAATAGAAGGGAAAGGGAAAGAAGGGCTCGTCTAACTCAGCTTATGTTATCAATGACGAATTGAGGGTTCAGACTCATGTTTCGATTACATTGTGATCGACCTGGCTTATTGACGACTATTGCTGCTTCAATTCATCCGGCCGGTCAAAGCTGAAGAACCAAAGACGCAAACGTATAGCGAGGCCAGTCTGGAGGTCACGAGAGCAGTGCCCCGCCACTGGTCTGTCTGAAGACCCCGGTCTCACCGAGCGTCTCGTCCAGAAGCCGCTGAATTGTCGCCTGATTAAATATTCTAGCCGTCGCTACCACGCTCGACGAAATGAGCTGATTCTCCGGCGCACAGTGTGACTAAACCGTGTGACACTCGTAATGTCGCGCTTGGATAGCAGCGGGTCTGTAAAGCCCCTGGGTCACGCTTGGTGGCGCCAGGTCTTTCCAGTCACCCCTCACACCTGATGTAGTGCGGCGGCCGACTCAAGACTGCGAAGCTGACCGGCGGCTCCCCCTCCCTTCCCCCTCCCCCTGTGGTGCTTCTTAGTCATTTTTCACACCTGATGTAGTGCGGTGGCCGACTGCAGACTGCGGAGGAAGCCGGCGGCTCCCCTCCTTCCCCTCCCCTCCCCGGTGGTTCTCTCGCTGGTGCGTGCATACCCGGGGGCGCTAGTTAAAGAGCCAGAACCAGCTCGGTTATGCAGGACCAGACCTTTGACGGGTGCCGGAGATATAAGCAACGGAAGGCTTTGATCATATCTGGTGGTATCTTTCCGTGTTGTCATCCAGGAGAGTTATTTTCATGTGGCAATGATCGAATGTCATGAAATTGCTTGACCGACTAGCTTCGCATTCGCATCAGAAAGAATCAGCACATTTCACCGGCGCATTCACTTGACATCGGATCGACTTATCATTTCATGAGTCGAGACTGTGGGATGCTCTTGTCTTATCGATTAAGCCTTGTTGATTGATACGATCATTCTTATGCAGTGTCAGGGACAGGTGTTGATCGAACTGCCTTTGTCGATATCAACAACGTCCTTGATATAAACAAGGAGTGAGGGCAAGCACTGTTCTCCTAACTGCCAAAATGCGGTATTTTGGGATGGCAAATTACTGTTTACACGTCTGATTGTCATGAAATTGCGTATTCTTAACGTTCGTCACAAGCTTTAAAACTTTACAGTGCACACTGTCTGGCTCTAGGGCCGGCTCTGGAATATAATCCAATGTAGCCCGCTGTCACATCGAAGCTGGATTCACATGGACCGTGCGCCCAATGCTAATCCTGAGAACAAAACGCGAAATACACATCTCTCTCGCAACACGAATACGACGGACGGACGCGGCAGTGAGCAGTGCGGTGGTGGCTGAATAAGGTCCGACTGTTGACAGACGCCGTAACGCGAAGCACCCTGGAAACACGTATATACACATGGAGACGAGTCTACCTGTCCGATGCAGGCAGATTACGGTGGCCTTTGGGATAAGCATTAATCTGTCAGCTCACATCAAACGGAGAACGCGTTTACTGCGGCCTGTTCGCTTGTGCGCATGCTTCCTAAGGTATGGCAACGACGACTGCGCCTAATTCTCCAGGAACGATATGTGCCATTCCCTTCTTCAATATTTCACGGATCGTAATTCCTATGTCGCAGAAAACGTTATATTCGTTGCAAATCAAACTGTGGTACCAACTGTTTCACACCTGATCTCTAGTACTTGATCTTCCCCGGCACACTTGTGTTACCTTGTCGCTCCGATACCACGCTGTTTCCCCGAGAGGAGCGCTCGCTGTCCGGGGCGCGGCTAATCGTGGTCCTACCTGGCAACCGCCACCCTGATTGCTGTTTTTTGTCTTTTATGTTATCTTTTTCTCGTTGCACTCTTGCCGTCCGGCTGCCGCTTCTTCGCCATTGTGTGCCATCCTCATCATGCATTGTGTCGTTCACTAGCGTTGCAATGTCCCCACGATTTTCTACCGCGGCATTCGACGCATCTCCGCTGCCATGATGATAATGCCCTGCCATGCTGGCGTGTTCGCCGTCCTGTGCGCTGCCGTTGCCCCAGTGAGCTGACGCCCGGCGTCCTGTGCGCTGCCGTAGCCCCGGTGAGCTGACGCCGGCGTCCTGTGCGCTGCCGTAGCTTCAGTGAGCTTACGTCCGGCGTCCTGTGCGCTGCCGTAGCCCCGGTGAGCTGACGCCCGGCGTCCTGTGCGCTGCCGTTGCCCCGGTGATCTGACGCCCGGCGCCGTCCCCAGGCCTGTCGGCGGTGATCCCGGAGCCGGACTACTCAGACTCGGAGGAGGAGAACCGGCAGGGCCGCGCCAACTGCCGCTTGCCCACCTCGCCCGACGGGCTCATCCTGCCGCGCAAGCTGGCCAACCCGTGCCGGGACAGCGCCGATCGGCGTCAGCTGCACCGCGAGCTCCTCTTCAACCAGAGAACGTAAGCCGACCGGACCGGAACGGGACGGAACGGAACGGAACGGAACGGAACGGAGCGGAACGGGAACGGAACGGAACGGAACGGAACGGAACGGAACGGAACGGAACGGGACGGGGCGGAACGAACGGAACGGAACGGAACGGAACGGAACGGAACGGAACGGAACGGGACGGGACGGGACGGGACGGGACGGGACGGGACGGGACGGGATGGGAAGGTGAGAAGCCGCTTGCGAAGGAAAAATTGGACCGGGGGCGGAACAGGGGTGAGGAAGGTGCCCGGGATTCGGGACTCTAGGCACTGTGCTCTAGAAGGGCTCTGTGTAGTACACATCACTCAGTACAAATCGACTGTCAGCTGCTCCGACATTTGCCTGCGTAAACCACCACCGCCCCTTACGTTCCCCGCGCCTCGTTCCTTGTTCTGGCCGCTGAGGTCGCGGACTTCTCTAAAATCTCACGGACTAGCGCAAGGATGTGCTGACGGAAGCCAGCGGAACCACTCTCGGCTGACGGCCAGGTCTCGATAAGAGGGCTCCAGCCGCTCGTGATGAAACCTCTGAAAGGAAGCGGGAGACGCCGGGGAGATTGAAGCGGTACAAAGGCTGCGGCGGCAGGGTGACAAATTCAGCGCGCTCGATGCACTTTTTGTTTACTCGCCATTTCGCCTCGAAAGTTGTCGACAGAGGGGTGTTCTCAACTGTAACGTTTGTCGCCTTCGTGTGCTTAAAAAGGCAGTTGAAAGCTACCCTGGCAACCACTGTGAAATATGCACTTTGTCAATACAGAGTGCGCTATCGCTGATGAGTCCCTATCATTGTTGGCAGACTTGCAAATACCACACATGCCAAACTGATAAGACATAGCTCCTCGTGGTCTTAGTGATTGCATATGGTTTAGACATTTGTCCGGGCCACATTTGTGCTGAACAGTTCATATGACAGGCGGCACTAACCGTGCAGCTTGATCGCCGCGACTCCCGAGCGCTCCCGCAGCCCGAGGGCGCGTCAGGCGCATTGGTTCGCTCCGTCCGGCGTGCGTCTTTGCCGAACGTCGGGGTGTGGTGCCCGGCGGGTACTGCTGTACCGCTGTAGCACGGGTACCGTTGTTACCCCTCTCCCGGGGCATCGCCGGGCGCTGTACCCCTATCACGTTGCCGACCAAACATCCCCCGTTGACGCGTCCATCACTCATTATCCGCCCGGGGAGCCTGCCAACGGCGCCCACACCAGACGCGGTCAATATTGACCTGGCGAGAGTCTCCGACCGCCGCGCGGGAGTCCAGCGGGGATGGATGCAGTACTCTGAACGGCACTGCACGTGGCCTACCGCAATCCTGAGAACCACCTGCGAACCGGCGTCACGTCTAGTGCACGTCTCTTGTGGCAAATCATGATTGGTTAGGCGCGCTCTGGGCGGCTGTTGCGTTCGGCGGAGGCTCGTGCCGCCGTCGGCGCCGGCCGATCGGTGACTGTGCTGTCCCTCGCAGCGGGAAGAACGTGCTCGGTCAGAAGAGCGAGCTGCAGCGGGCGATGGAGCGGCACCGCGAGCAGCAACAGCGGCGCGAGGCGCTTCTCCAGACGCAGAACAACAAGAGCAGCTTTGAACGCGCCCTGGATGAGCGGCTGCTGAGCGTCGAGCCCAAGGTCAGCTGAAGGTCATCTCAGCCGGGACTGTGGCCCAGTTGGTACGGTCTTGGACGGGTCCGGGCCGGGTTTTGGTGTTTGGCGTCGGGATGTAGGCATGTCACCCCTTCTTCTGACTGCTGTTCGGACAAGTGCTGGCCTGGAAGGTCGCGCGGTAATGGCTCGCAATGCAAACGCTTGCTGTTGTTTCAGTCATGTCGCAATGATGGTGCACGACTGCGGTGTTCAGTTTTCACTTTCCATGTATTGTAGGTTGCAGGTCGTTCCACGCCATAGTTCTCGCTGCCGTATGTTAAAATATTAGAGGAAGCTTGCATGGATGACCATCGTGTAGCCTATCGAGAGCTTGGTGCCATCCTCTATCCAACAGTGTATGAGCAGTTCTGCATAGATTTGGCCGCTTCATCGATCCGAGACGGCCAGTCATCGCACTGATAGACCGTGCATCTCAGCAGAAATGCATAATGCAGGAGACGGGCGCCAGGTCACCTTGCGTCGTCCGGCGCCGTGATGAACCGTCCGTTGCATCACATTCGCGGACAGGCGTCTTAAATTCACAACTGGCATTCCAAACCCGGCCACGGGCCATTCAGAACTGCTGCTGCCCGACTGCAGCCTCCGGCGCGAGTCCTGCTCGATCTGTGCGCGATGCTGCGTCCGTTAAGAGACGGCCGTGCCTGGTTGTCAGATGGCGGAGGAGGCGCAGCCGAAGCTGGACGGCACGCCGGAGTTCCTCAAGGTCCACGCCAAGGTGCGTGCCAACATCAACACGCTGTCGTGAGGCGGACGGACGCCAGGTGCGGCTCGAGGGCCGCTCGCGGTGTGTGACCCAGGGGAGCGGAGCCGTCCGCCTCGACCCGGGACGGACGCCAGGTGCGGCTCGAGGGCCGCGCGGCGGCCACCGTCGGCTCGCGGTGTGTGACCCGGGGGAGCGGAGCTGTCCACCTCGACCCGGGACGGACGCCAGGTGCGGCTCGAGGGCCGCGCGGCGGCCACCGCCCGCTCGCGGTGTGTGACCCGGGGAGCGGAGCCGTCCCCTCGACCCGGGACGGACGCCAGGCGAGGCTCGAGGGCCGCGCGGCGGCCACCGTCGGCTCGCGGTGTGTGACCCGGGGGAGCGGAGCTGTCCACTCGACCCGGGATGGACGCCAGGTGCGGCTCGAGGGCCGCGCGGCGGCCACCGCCCGCTCGCGGTGTGTGACCCGGGGGAGCGGAGCCGTCCGCCTCGACCCGGGACGGACGCGTGACCCGGCCTCGGACCTTGGGCTCTCAGACGGGGGGCACCAGCGAGTGAGGCCCACGTTCCCGGTGTCAGAGAACACCGCCGGACGCTAGAAGGCGGCCGTGAGGTGTCACGTTCGGGACCGGGCGTCATGGCCAAGAAGTGAAGGACTTCCGACATGATGCGTGACTGGTGTGTGCGGAGATGTGGTCCGATAGTCGAGGCTGTTAGGGTGATGTGGAACACCCTGGTGGTTTCCAGCCGCGCCCCGACCTGGCGGTACGCCGTCGTGTCGGTGGTATGACGTCAGGGTCATGCCGACGGGCCCAGGTCAAGGTCAGCCATCCGCGACCCCCAGCGCCGCGTGATGCACGCGGAAACGACAGTTGCACCGTACACACAACGGGACTTCCCATCTCGGCGTGAGCAATCTCCCAGCTTTAACTGGTCGATGAATGAGTATCACTGGCCGTTCCAGCACAGCTCGCGAAGTGTTTTGATGCTCGTGTGATGTGCCGCCCACTGCTTGGATGAGCTAAATGGTGATATTTTTATGAGTGGCGATGTCGAGCCTCCTTATTGATGTGTTGGTGTTCTCGGTCGAATGGCAGAGTACCCTTGAATTTGAACCGCTCTGCGTTTGCACTAGCTGGTGAAAATGGTTTCTGATATATGCATTGAATGTGTAGCACGCTGTCTTAACTGTTGTGTTGTGTAACACGCGTACAAAGCGTGTATGAACAATAAAGGACGTCCTCAAGCTCCAAGGAAGTACACTACCCCTGCTTGTTTGGATTAACTGTGGAGGACACAGACACAGGCCTCATCAGATCAAGAACTACAATGCAGCAATGCGAGCCTCTCAAACTGCGATGCAGAGAACGGTATCAGCTACAGGTCCTAAGCTACATGGCCAGATTTCTTAGAAGCGAAAAAGCCGCGCTTACGACTGAACAATCAAAAACTGCGCTGACTCCCCATAAACGCAGTATTACGCCGTAAGCCCTTGCTGCAGGTCAGGCTGGCAGGTCGCATGAAGTATAGGTGGCGCCAGCGTCCAAGCACCGGGCCCGAGCAGACTGCGCCGCCAAAGGCAGCCTGATGCGAAGGCAGAACAAAATCGAAGCCGCTCGATCATATGAAACAGGGTTTTGGATAACGTCCATACAGAGCAATGTGCGTATTTTACCGGCTGATCACGGTAAAGAGTCAACAAGCCGTACGATTTGCTCAAAACCAAATAACCAGAACGGAAGTAGGTTTCAATCTCCGTTCAATCAAACGTTGAACAGTTACGCGATTAAGAAAATATGTCCTTACTTTTAGAACGGCTGATTTATTGGGCTGAAGCCCACGCTAAAGAGCGCTTGTTGCGTGAGACTTTACTCTACCATCCGATCGCAAAATTCGAGGTCAATGGCTGAACCTGGTGGCGAAAGTTTAATGTGTCGCAATGCCTGGCACGGTCCGTCCTGTCCACTGACGTCATCACCCTTAAGCTGGGGCCGCGGCCATCAGCCACAGGTCATTCTAGTCAAGGGCAAGAAGCCAGGGTTAAAGCAGCTCGAACACTTTGAACCAATCCCGTCACGCCTGGGTGAATGGGAAGACGGGCAACTCTAAGCGACCGAACAATAGGAACCGACTAATCCCTATGAGCATGCCTTTATCGCTACTTTTAAACGAGGTAAGTTGACCAGACATACTCATAGGAACGAAGAAAGGGGCGATCAGACCAGGTCACCATCTTCCATGAAAGCCAGTTCATAACTCCATGACAGTGAGTGGAATTTCATTTCTTTCTTTCCAATGTCTTTGGCTAGTTGGAGGGATTAAAAGGTCATTGCATGTTTGGCCCCTGGGCTTACAAATGACAGACCTTAAAGGAAAGCAAATGCATCAAAGTCGTCGGTTATGAAATTCCTGATGATTGGGTCGCATGTATTCGGATTCACCCGCCGCGGGTGGCCGGGTTCGTGTCGTTCTAACCGCACGCTATAACTTTGTCAGCGCCAGGATCATTACCCACATTAGCTGTTTGCAATGTTACTTCAAAGGGATAGGGCATGGGTTTAGTTCGTTTGCCTGCTTTTGGTTTCGTTTTTAATTTGACTTGTTTCGGTCATTTGGTGGCCATTTCAGTGCTACGGGGTGCAGGAGAGTGCATAATGATGCCTGGTAGGGCAAGGCTACAAACACCTGGCAGTTCTCCACCGAGACCTGATACGCCAAGATACCCCTCCTCAGCGCATGTACATGCGATTGGACGGGCCCCCGCCAGGGGTCACTTGCTCATGTGTCAGCTTACTCATGGCTGGTGCATGCAGATTACACTAAATAAGCAGAGAATCGCGAAAATGCAGGATGAAGCGTGAATGAGGAGAGAAGGGAGAATGCTGTCTGTTTAGTACCAGGGTGTGAATCAGCGATCATGTACAGGTAACGATTCCAGGATTTTAAGTTTGCTTATTCAGTTATCATGTTTTAGATGCACGACCAGTGGCCTTTATCAAGCGCGTAAACAGGGCTACTGTAAGCCTACGGTCCTAACAGGATGCCCCCCCCCCCCCAACAGAAACAATCATGAGTCTCAACCGAGCATAAGTAAAATATTTTTATCATACTTAAGTTGTCTTTTCCTAGGTCCCTGATGCCGTGGTATGATTGCTATGGTGAGCAACATGAAACTCTGCGTTTTTCTGACACTCTCACCAGGGGCGGATCTAGCCTGGAGTTGTTTTTTTTGGGGGGGGGGAGGCAACCGTTCGTCGCCAGCTGACTGGTGTGGGATCCGAGGTCCAGTGCACTTATCAAACACGATGTTCACGCCGAGTGTGACTAAGCCGCGTCAACATGCGTTTTGTTTTGATTTTCAAATCGCTGCCAACATTTGTTCATGAAGTTGTTTTCCGAAACGGAAAGAAATGTTTGATACCGCACCATCAAAGTTAAAACAGACGATAGGTAGACGAAACTTTTATGAAGTTCCGGGAATGTTTTCGTGGGCCAAAACATACTCTCAGAGTTTTTGGGGCGCCATGGCCCCGCGCCCCCCCCCCCCCCCCCCCCCCAGGATCCGTTTATAACTCTCACCTCATGTCTTCCGTGATGCCCAATGTCGCTGCATTCGCTAACGAAGAAATAGCACGTGAGCCATGTGCCGCCGCTGACATATGCAAAGGCTGCATGCCACCTAGCGTGGAAATAATAAACTAGTAGTTATTTTCTTCACCGATTAGCGTGACGAGTTTGAAACATGTCGGAGCCTGGCCGGCGACATTATCATGTTTTAGGTGTTTGACCAGTGGCCTTTACCAGGCGCGTAAACAGGGCTACTGTAAGACCAGGGTCCTTACTCTTACGGGGGTAAGGGTGAGGGCAGGGTCCAGACCCTTATTCTCGTTATGTTGTGCAAGTTATCCAGATTCGAACTCTGCAGAAGGTCGCACGGTAAGCACAATACCCTCGCATACCCCGCGGCGTATTTCCGGCGTTACGTATGAGTTTTGCACGCAATCAACTGCTAAAGCTCAAATCGTAGGTGTCGCCATGCTGAGGTGTCACTACGCATGTAGCACCACTATCGTATCAAAGTATGCTGGACGTTATGGTAGCGTTATGAATTTACGGCACCAGCACGTTGCTAAGCGGCGGACACGACAATCATGTAGCATTGCGTCCGTAGCAGCCGCTCCCTCTTACCCGATGTTCTCCTGATTATGTGCATCATCATATGATCGTTTTATTGCACATTAATTTCATATTCCCTCATTTGACATTGCTCACAGCTCTGTGAGGTTCAGGGCATCACACCGATAACAATTTCTCCCGCATTTTTTTGCGGCGTGAACCCGCAACCATCAACTCGGCATCCAGGACTATTTTTGTTACATGAGAACAATTTCTCCCCATTTTTTACAGCATCTACCTTCAATAACGCGTCACAATCATCGAGGTCATATTAAAGGAGTATGTTTTAAAACCGGGAGTACGGCTTACACCCCTGAGTTCGTGTCAAACGTTCAGAGCACGTCGTGCAATCCCTCTGAGCCCGCAGTTTCTTTGAGCCCACAGTTTCTTGTTTTGTTTTTGACTCTTCAAAAAGCACGCATCGAATCCTCTCATGACTCCCGAGAAGCTCTCAGTTGGGACTCCTATGATACCGTCCAGTGGTCATAATGGAGTCATAGAAAACATGACACTGCTCAAGGAGTCCAGGTTCTCTTAACGAGCGTTTCCAGGAGTCACGCCGAAAACAATCCGTGAGCCCCCACACAGGAAAACAGCTTGTCAAAAACCCTTTGCTATTGACATCATTAAGGGACCACACGAGGGCCTTTCTGCAGACTGGCCGCTGCAATGGATGTGGTAAGGTTCGCGGCTGAGCGTGGTTTTGGGGGAGGGGGCAAGAGCCACTGCACTGACAATGGCCGTCCACCGCCCACGTGGGTGTGTACAACTTCGTGATGCCCACCATCACGAAGTTGTAGGTGGAGTCTGCGGCTACGCCGGCTCTGGTGAGGTAGAGGGCTGCGTTGGCACTGTAGGATGCTAATACCTACGAATCCGCGTAGTAAGGCCAGTCACTACGCTGGTTCTAGAGAGACCAGCCCCCTCGCTGGAGCCAGTAAAAACTATAGTAGCTGGATGCTACAGCGCAGCACAGAAAACTCCCTGTACCTCTGACGTAAATCCCGAAGGACGAAATTCACCAGCGTTACGATTTACACGAGTGCACACACCACAATACCATTCACAGGACATGTTAACACCATGACAGGAGACCACTAAGCGGTCAAAAAGCACAGCACAGTGCTCCACTACCTTTGATGGGGTCCACCGCCACCATACGACTCTAGTGAGAGCGTGCGTCGCGCTATGACTCTAGTGAGGCTGGGCGTCGCGCTATGACTCTAGCGAGACCGGGCGTCGCGCCATGACTAGTGAGGCTGGGCGTCGCGCCATGACTCTAGCGAGACCGGGCATCGCGCCATGACTCTAGTGAGGCTGGGCGTCGCGCCATGACTCTAGTGAGGCTGGGCGTCGCGCTATGACTCTAGTGAGACCGTGCGTCGCGCCATGACTCTAGTGAGACCGGGCGTCGCGCTATGACTCTAGTGAGGCTGGGCGTCGCGCCATGACTCCAGTGAGGCTGGGCGTCGCGCCATGACTCTAGTGAGACCGGGCGTCGCGCTATGACTCTAATGAGGCTGGGCGTCGCACCATGACTCTAGTGAGGCTGGGCGTCGCGCTATGACTCTAGTGAGGCTGGGCGTCGCGCCATGACTCTAGTGAGACCGGACTTTGCGCCATGACTCTAGTGAGACTGGGCGTCGCGCCATGACTAGTGAGACCGGGCGTCGCACCATGACTCTAGTGAGACCGGGCGTCGCGCCATGATTGGTAAGACTGAATTCTTTGGCTCCTATGGTGGGCCGGGCTGCTGCGCTGGTTCCAGTCAGCCAGACAGTCTCTTATAATATGTAAGTTGGATCAGATGGGCCTGATCACATTTTATTTCCACTATGGCCATAATCTGCTGATGCGAAAATACATGTCGACTGTCGATTTTGATTTCTTGTATGCCCTGTTCATTTGCTGATGGATTTCGTGATTCTGTTCTCGAGCGAATTACACAAAGGCACTTTTGTTTATTCCACACTACAGCATGACGTTAAATTTAAGTTTGTTTTCAACATTTGATATATTCGGCGATTTTGTTTATAACTTACACTTCTTGCTATTTCTTTCATTTGTATAAAGGATCGCACGGCCTGGGCAAACTCAATATGTTTATACCTATAGAACATATCCCATCCGCCAGCATTAGCTTTGCATACAGCTGAGCGCTAGCTCGTTCTGGCAATGCACTCGATTGGTTCAGAAAGGGGTGGAGAGAATGTTACCTCACGTAGCGTTTTAATCGTTTCCAGGACATTGCAAGGTGTGATTGTCACGTACCATCATGCCAAACGACATCCTTCGGTTTTTTTGCAGCACATTTTTCCTATTTCAGATGTCCTCTCGAAAATTTTGACTATGTGTTACTGAAATAACGGTACACTTTACCAGGGCGCAAAATGACGACAGTAGTCGGCGCGCCCTAAAACTCTAATCAACAACGACGGTACACTTTACCACATATTAAAATGATTTTTGTCACTTTCCTTCTGCTCTGCCACCACTCTCGCCCTCCTGCGCTCTTCCCTGTTCTCTTCCGGTCATCGGCGTGTCCGACCTTCACGTAGCGCTCGGCCGGGTCGGTGACCTCGGCCAGCCGGTGCGCCGGCCGGGCCCCGCCTGGCGCCAGTACCGGCGCTCCTCGCGCACAGCCCGGCCGGCGCCAGGAGCGGCGGCCACCGTCACCAGCGCGTCCACCATGGCGGAGCCGGCCGCCACGGGCAAGGTGTCGAAGAGGAGCACGCAAAAACACTGCCTGCTGTACCTGGCGGCGATGCTGCTCAGCCTGTCGGCCATCACCGTGGTGCTGGTGTTGATGTCGCAGCTCGGTAGCTTCGACGGCGAACTGTGGAGGTACGGAGGCAGCCGGGTGACGCGGCTCGCCGTGTCTGCTGGCTGGCTGGGCCGAGTCGAGTCTGCTGCTAACATTTGACGGTCTGCCCTGCTTCCTGTAGTTCCATTATACGTCATGCACGCATGACATGTCGCATGTTTTGAAAAATGTTAGAATTTTAAAATTTTAGCGGCAGCAATGATAATCCCGAAGCATCAGGATCCCAGTACTACAATGCCGATGACGACATGCAGTGTTCGCGGTCTGTGCATGGCACCACATGTACACCGATCCAATATTCATTATCGTATCCTGTCTGTTTATGCTTTGGCCACAGTCCTTTTGAGTCCATGAGCATATAACTAACGGAGCGTGTTTGGCCACGTTTATGTTAAAAAATAACTGTTTTCCGAATGTTCGGTGGATCTCACAGAGTCAAACGTAGGCGATTCATCAAATTGTATGAATTTTTTCCCTTGGCCTCATGGGGGAGGGAAACTAGTATCCCTTGGACTAATCATGCTTTACAGAAGGCTGTGACTGGTAGTCGTTTCGGTTACGCTAGCACAATATTGTCGTTCTGTCGGCTTTACTGTTTTTATAATATTTCTGACCCCGTCAAATCCAGTTTTTCATTTTGCCCATGTACGGTACAACAAATCTCAAAGAAATATAAATAATTTTTAACCAAAAAACACTGGGTAACTTTTCTGACAAGACAGAAAAATGCGCTAGGTACGCCCACAAAATCTGTATGACCTGATAGGGGATAAAGGTGACACGTTTTAGCGGGAAATAATTTTAGTTATGACACAAGTGCTTGCATGTTTGCTTTGCTACGCTGAGTACTAGAACGTAGAAAATTTAATTATCTATCTTTAGCAGTTTAAATCACGGTTCTAGGCGCCGTGGTTACCGATATATGGGTCAAAACGTGAAAAAGACTTGGCCACATGACGCGCGCGGCGGCGGCGGCCCCTGGCGGCTGCCGGCAGGGGAGAACGCATTTCGCCTGCGCTCTCTGCAACACGGGCAAACCTTTTCTATGGGACCGGAGAGTGATTGCGGGACATGGCCGGTGATTTTGCCCCTTCTACCAACTGTCAGCCTTTTGAATGATGGCAGCACGTACTGCCGTTGTGCTGAACAGCATTGCATTGTATCGAACAGTGAAAAATGGTCGGTAGCGGCCAAATCAATTGTCCTGGTTCGCACACACGTGACGCTTTAATCCACACCACGTGATTGCTCGTTCGATTCCCCATCAATGCATGCTACTTCTGAATGCGTCCGTGCCCTGGGTGCAGAGAGGTGGCACAAAACGTGTAGAACTGTGGAAAAGAGCAAAATTCATCATCCCAAGTAAAAGCCATCCATCATCACGGTTTTAGAAGCCCTGGTTGCCGAGATGTGGCGCAAAATGTGAAAAACGGCCGGTAACGGCCAAGTCTATCTTGCTGGCTCGTGCACACGTTACACGTAGCGCATGCGACATCACAGTGCATGCAACGTTATCGTCTGTTCGATTTCTCATCAATGCATGCCGCTCTCCAGTGGCTCCATGCCCTGGGTGCCGAGATGTGGCACGAAGCGTGTAAACCCGCGGAAAAGAGCAAAAGCCGTCTTCCTGGCTCGCGTGTGCCCGACATGTGTAACGCGCCAACCCGCACTTGTGGCACCGTGGGATTTCCCGTTCAACGGCCCATCGCAGCATGCCAAACTCGTGTTACTACGAGCCATAAGAGCGGAAATCTCGCGTAAAACGCAAAAATGGACGAAATCGGCGCAATGTATCTTCACAGATTATTTGCATTTGTCACATAACACGTGCAATATCACATCGTACACGTTTGAGTGATTATCCGTTAAATCGCCTATCGGAGCATGCCAGTCTCGGCGTACTTAAGTACTGCACGTACTGTACGCACTTAAACACGTACTGTGCGACGACGTACATATGTACTTCCCTGGTTTCTGAGATATCACACAAATGTGTAGGCCCCTCAAAGAGCAAAAACGTGTAAATCCATAGTTTAACACGTGGGGTCCAACACATGTGGCACGTGTCACCACACGTTATCATCTCAGTCCTTCCATTCACCATCAAAGCGCGTCATTCCCGAGTGTTCGTGTCATGGATGCCGAGTGTGGCACAAAACGTGCAAACCAGTGGAAGAGAGCAAAATCCATCTGTGAGCCAGTGTCACGTATACGTGTGACCGTACCATTTCGCATGGCACACCACCATTCCCTTGTCGCTTCGACCCACCGTTGTCGAGATATTGGTGCGAGATGGCATAATCGGTCGGAGGCAACGAACTATGGCAGTCGGTCATGTAATTAGACGGCCGTTTAACCTTCAAGCAACCTTCAGCGTCGGTCAAGAAGCTGGACGAAGTCATTCCGTCGCAGCATTAACCTAGGCTCATTTGTGAGCGACATATGTCAAAATGTGATCAACAATTGGATGGGATAGAGAGAAAATGAATCGGCCAGCACGCTGTCGTAGTTCTCAACACCAGATCATGAATAGTGTTGACGGGAGTGGTTTGTATATTCGGCGCCGATTTTTAAAACATCATCTTACAATATATCCTGCAAGTTGCAGCGCGACGGTGCGTTGCACAACCTCGCGATGCGACTGAAAGTGTTACCGCGTCATTTGTGCATGTTGCGAAACCAAATCCACGCCTGTACGCGCGTGGCGGACATGGCGATTGTCCCATACAGCGCGCCGCCGACCATCGTGGGACAGTCGAGATTGCTCCCACGGAGGACCCGTCCGCCGGCTCACAGCCGGACCAGTCCCTTGCCATTCCTGTGTATCGTCATAGGTTCATGTTGGATAAGTGCCAACTGCGTGGCGCGGAAGAGACAACATAATCTCACCAACCTTGACTCGCGTCGCTGTCTGCCGTTTGCTTTTGCTCAGCTCACCTGATTAATATTTTGTGGGGCATTGGGCTGTGCTTGTTTGACTTAATTATGTGTTTTGAATTTCACTTTTGTGTGTATTGTGCGCGAAAGCTCAAGAAGTGTGTTGCGCACAATGCTGTTCGTGTGTACGGTAGCAATGTGAACCTGTTGGTAATGTTAAATGCGCAGGATTTTCTCTTTTCATGATTCTAGTATAAGGTGGCATTGGGCCGCTAGGTTCAGCGACTTTTGAGTGCCTTGCCTGCTGTCTTGCACTACACTTGTGTGTGTGTTGTGTTTTTATGCCTGTTTTTGCAAAGATATGTATGAACCTGGTGGTACAAAATGCACCATATTATTGTTATTATCTTGTAAAGCTTATGCATTACTTTAATGCATCCTGACACTGCTCAGATAAGTAGCCTCTATTTTTGGGAAGCATTATTTTTCCTGTTTGAAAGCATTTGGAGGCATGAAATATTAGCACGACATTAATGACAGCTAGCGAATCTTACAATGCTGGTAATACTTATGGATAAGGTTGGGTTGCAACCACATCTAATTACATATCATGGCTGTTGCGGACTCGATCCCATCAATATGTTATCATCACATCTTCTTCATGTATGTATGCGCACCTAAGCAGCATTATGTGATGAAAGAGAAATAATTTCCATGAAACTGATCAGATATGAAATTTTTGCAGCTGTTCCATTACATGCCATGAAGTCCAAGCGTAACAACCTGCTGTATGAGCCCAATTACATCAAAGATATCATAAAGGCTAGTTCTTCCCTTGAAAGCTAATGAGAGCTATAGCCCACAACTTTTTTTTTTGCTTAGATCTGCCAGGGACTGCGATGAAACTGTCAGAGGCAGGTGCCTAGGAGCATGGGTGTAGGAACAGGGGAAGGGGCAGGGGGCCATGGCCTTCCCACTTTTCAACGTGGGGGGGGGGTCAGCCGTGTTGACTGGCCCCCCACTTTTCAGACTAAGGTTGTGTTTAGCTTACTTTACTTACTTCTTAGTTACTTACTTACTTTACTTACTTACTTACTAGCTTACTTTAGCTTACTTTTGCGCCACATTAAACACACATGTGGATTTGCCTAGTTCACCAGCCATCTTCCTCAAGACGCAATATCTCTTTTTCATTTGCTCATTGACCATCACTAAGTATCACAGCCGCAAGGCCAACGCCGCGCGGCCTATGGAGACTGCAACGCCGGGTGCCGAGGCTGCTGTTGCCATGACTTGTGAGGACGCATGTTCATAACCATATTACGTGTTTTTTTATCTGAAATTAATTCTGGCGGAATCTTGAACATTTTAAGACGAACATGGATTAGCCATGTTAATACAAATTTGAGTCCCCATTTCAACTGCAATCTACGTTCAGGCAGTCCTCAATATCTCTGAGGAATACAGAAAAAGCATGAAACTGGAGTCTATATGACAATTATTGGACCATCTGCGGCGATCACGGATGTTGTTGCGTTAACGAAGGCTCCTGTGCTGATCCGGGGCTAACTGCGTCGGTCAGAGGCCTCCCGTGTCAGAGAGGGGAACAACGTGATACGACATATCCTTCTAATGGCCTCCGGATCGACCAGGAGATCCCGCCCCGTGTCGCCAGAATGACAGCTAGAAAACACTTCGCGATGGAACGGAATGGCCTTTCAGCCCTTGACCGGAAACGGTAATGTGCCCCTGGTGTTCTACTCAAGGAGTCCCTTGCCCGCAAAGAAATAAGGGGCCTCATTATTGTTGAGTAGAGCAGGATTTTCATTATTGCTGAATAGTGTGGGTCGAAATGAGTTTAGAAAACAGACAAGGCCATCCCATGTTTGCCTAAGAACGTCCATTTTTCAGAATGGATTAGCGAAACGAACCACGTCAAAAGGTTTGAGCGCGCCCGCCCGCAACCTCGAGAGCAAGGACGGCGATGGCCTAGGTTGCAGCTTTCGTAAAACCGAACGGCTTCGGCCACTGCGAGTGCCACCAGACGACGGGTGCCGTGTTTATCTCACTTATCGACAGATAAATACTAAAAGAAACACGAAAAATACAGATTCTACCTTCACTCTTCCAGTTCAACCATCAGATTCCAGCCCGCTTCGCGATGTTTTAAGGGGGCTAATCCGTTCCTATCATCAGTCTAAAAATCGCACACGTGAAAAATGCGCCCAGACTGCTTTCTAAGTGTAAGATTTCCTGTCATGAAGTGTTCCAAGATACTTCTTTTAGAAGCGTCATCATTTTCGTCCAGCCGTTGACCATAGCTCAGTATTAGCTGTTGGACCGACGCCCTGTGGAGGGCGACGCCTTTTCAGGGACCCAAAATGTCTACCCGCTCGTGGAATGTCGCCTCCCCAGGGAAGATAACGCCGAAATGGACGAATTGGGAGACTGGATAGCCTTAGTTGCCGAATAACATATATGGGTCGAATAGGCAAGAGTGTGTACCAGTGGGAAACAGCTTTAGGTGCATGTCAAGAATAGCAGGCAATACATTTGAGTAAAGAGCGATGACACATCTCTACATCATCACCCCCTCACCCCTACATCTCTACCTACCCCCCTCGGTCATCAGGCTTGCTTTCCAGAAGAAAAAAATCCTGAAGTACGCCTCGAGCTTAGCCCCCACTTTTTGAACGGTCCTACTCCTGTGTCTGAGAGGGAGGCATGGAAAGAGGGGCGTCTGCAGTCCTACAGTGAGAAAAACTGTCAGAAGACTGCGTTGCAGTGCAGAGATGTTGGATAAGCACCTGAGTCACAAGCCACCAATAGTGAGAACTGTGCATGCTGGTTACAAAAGGGATACTCTGACTAGGTCTTTTACTAATGCCCAACTGATGTTGATGTTAAGAATAATGACATTGTGTGGCTGCTCTCGATATTGATGAAATCATGTTAGAGCGTTCCAATCATGCATTAAGAAAGGTGACTTACGCACTGGACACTGTCTAGTTGTTACCAAAAGTTTGCTCTCCTCGACTTCCGGCAAGTTGAAAGTCTTGCCCCCTTGAAAATGATGGAATCTGCAATTTAAACAAGACATCAGCAGAGTGTAAGATACTTACATAGCAAGTTCGAAATCAATTCCCCTAACCTGCCCATATCTATTGAATACCTGTGAAAAGTCCGAGAAGGTTGTGACAAACGACAGGTTTTTATCTCTTCGGGCACTTAGATGGCCTGATGCAAGATCAAACGTGATTATATTGGATTCCTGTGGGATAAGCAATCCGGAAACATTGATGACATGACAAACTTACTGCATGTTCCGTTGACCTCGTGTAACCTCATCTTGGCATCCATTCTACGTCTTGAATATCAACTGACTAAGCAAATTAGTTGTTTAAGCTGCATTACGCGAGCAAAGTGGATGTGGAAATATGTTGAACGACAGGTCGCATGAATAAACCAAATTATCACGCTAGGCTATGGAATAAACTTGTTGATGTCACAAAGAGGTCAGTTCCAGCCCGAGGCGCTGGGCTGGGGCGCCAGCCAATTAATGATTCAAACCCTTGAAGCGGAAATTTTGGCCCGTTCGGAGAAGAAATAGTCTTGTTGTAATCCAAACAAAAATATTGAAGGTCTTTTAGTCTTAGAACCGTTAAAAAAAAAACAAGCAAACTACGGTAGGCATGAATCCACCGTTGACCATCACATCCCCAGTGCACTTGTGACGTCATCAGTCAAAGCAGCGGAATTTGGCCGGACGGCTATACCTTCTGTTCTAGGGCCTTGAGCCGGAAAGCCTGAATGCACGCGATAATTCTCATTTTATAGGAAGCCTGGCACATGAACAAAGTTGAAAGCCTGCTGCGCGAACGGCCATTTCGACCTTTAACGCCCACGGCGTGCGCCGGGAGCTGGGAAAACCACCTGCCGTCGTCGCGGCCAAAAAGTTGTCATGCAACTCCTTAGTCTAGGCTCATTTGCGAGCGACACTTTTTCAAAATGTGATCAACAAAAGGATGCATAAGAGACAGGATGAATCGGCCAACACGCTGATGTAGTTTTCAATGCTAAGTCAAGCATAGTTCTGACGGTAGCGGCTTGTATTCGGCGCCCGCTTTAAAACCTCGGCCGGTTGCAAATCGCATTGCAATTTACAGCGCAAAGGTACATTGCACAGACTCGCGATACAACTAAAAGTGAAGCCGCTTCAACTGTAAATGTTGGGAAACAAAATTTAGGGCTTTACCTGCTTTGCGTACCGAGATATCACGGTAAACGTAAAAAAACGTCAAAAACGGTCGATTTCATATTTTTGCCACGTATGCACGTGTCACGTGTCACGTGGCGCAAAAAAATCATGACAGTGCAAACGCCCATTCAATGCTCTGTCGCACTGGGCAAATTTCATGTCGCTGTGATCCTTGGTTATAGAGATGCTCTGGGAAACAAAGCGTGTCGGACTGTTACGAAATTGGCGCCACCCGTGTTAAGCTTACAGCATTTTTGCTCTTTTCTATCGCTCAGCACGCGCTCATTTTTCGAAATGTAGAATTTTTACGCGACTGTCAAGCCCCGCCAGCGGGCCTCGGTCGTGTTAAAGTTTCATTGAAAAATTCCTGACCGCTTGGCATCTAGGTGATCCCAAAGAAATGGCGGACACACACACATTGTTCCTATATTAAAATACTGATGATTATCGTTGGAAGTCTTCACCACGACTTTTGCCTGATGTAATTGACACCAGTTTCCGCTTATTTTCCATTTGGATTGTTTTCATGTCTTCACTGACTGATTTGCTTGCTTACCAGCCAAAGTCAATCACGCTACACGAGTCCGTGTCATCATCAGAGGTCATCTCAGGTCAGCTCAGGTGACGAGCCAAAATAGCTGATGGCGCCTGCTTGTTTTGCACAAGTCCGTGTAACTGGTATATATATATATATATATATATATATATATATATATATATATATATATCCAAGCAATGATTCCGCGTCGCATTTGAACCCGACCAGCAGAAAACGCATATCCGACGAGCTGATTTAAATATTGACCTTCGTTGAAGCAAGATTATAAACTGTAAGAACACACTACACCCTGTGTTGCTGGCTACAAGCTAGAGCAAAGCCAAGCGACCATTTACTAAGTTTGCTGGAAAGAGGCGGTCTAGACTTTGTTTTCTGGGGAGCCAAAGGTTTTTTTTGGGGGGGGTCGGGGGCAAACCGTAGCAAACTTGTAGAATGTCCTTTGGAATGCATAGTAGCCCTCATACCAATATATATATATATATATATATATATATATATATATATATATATATATATATATCCGTAAGACACTACCCCGGGATGGTGGCTTGGGCTTGGTCGCTTGCTGCGTACGGAATGGCTGTGTGCGGGGATGGACCGGTAGGCTGGGTGGATTACATGACTTTTTCTTTGCGAATGTACCACAAATAAAGCGAAAATATACCACATTTAACTGCCTCAATAGTATCAAAACAGAAAAAATGCGCAATTAATCATACTCAACAAGACACGTTTGATTGCTTTTGGGGGGGGGGGGGCAAATCACGGTTTCAGGACCTTGGGAATGGACCATGGTCCCTCTGTCCTCTTGGATTCACCCTTGGTGCTAAAGAGCTCTGAAGCTGATGGAAGATTTGTACGATTTCTTAGGCTTACGCGTGACTTGTGTATCGTCGTGGTCATTTGACACATGCAGGCTCAAGGTGCAAAGATGGGGTTGACCGGTCCCATCGGCTGCTGTTTTCTGGAATAACTACATGGGTGTAGACCCCTGGCTTACATCCCTCCTCTTCGCACACACACACAAAGATCAGATAAGACAGGCTTCTGACGCCCCATCTCGCGTGCAGTCGCTGGAGCAGGCGGCATCCGACCAGGCCGCGCGCAGTCACCACCTTGCCCGAGATGCCTGAGGACGACCGCCAGATGGCAGCTCGACTGTTCCGCTACCTCAGCCGGCCGAGCGGCGCCGCCTGCCGCAGGCTGCTCAGGTTCGGCGGCACGCCGGTGAGGACTGACCCGCTGGAGTTGGACCCAGGGGTAGCAGGGCTCACTAAGGGTGGTAGGGCCGAGCTGGCCGTCTGGCGGTGGTAGTTGGGGGTTTAAGGGCGCGGTGGTGTCGAGAACATTTTGTGCCCACTCAAGAACAAAAATGTCGCCGTCCGACGAGGGCTGGTGTTGGGGAGGTTCAGTGGTGGGGATGTCGATATAGCTCTCGTTCGAATGAAGACCAGCTGGTGCCTGAAATATGTCTGAGCAATGACTTAAGCTATAACAGGACGGATAAGTTTTTGAATCCTTCGCCCTCTTACACGTGTACGTATAGGTGCTGTGAACGGCATGTGGTATTTCCAGCGACATGCATTCTACATTTGACGGTCGTGCGTTGATCCGTTTTCCAGTCACTAAAGCTGCACGGCATGGTGCTCAACTTGGAGGGCGGCGAGATGGCCTGCCTGGACCCAGAGTTCGCGCTGACCGGGCTCGACTGCCTGGTGTACTCGCTGCGCGCTGGCGGCGACAGCTCCCTGGAGGCGGCTCTCGAGCGCTATGGCTGCAGCGTGCACAGCTTCGACGCAGCTGCGACCGAGGCCGAGGCGGCGGACGGACCGGGCACCATCCACCAGGCGGCGTTGACGGAGCACGTCACGCTGGACGAGCTGCGCACCTCGCTCGGCCACTTGCACGAGCCGATCGCCTTCCTCTCGGTCACGGCGCCCGGCGCTGAGGAGCTGGTGCTGTGCCGGCCAGAGGCGCTGCGGCGCGTGCAGCAGCTGGCGCTGCGCCTGAGCTTCTCCGAGGCGCTCTCTGACGAGGCGCGCGCGTTTGCTCTCTTCCGACGGCGTTATGGGCAGCTACTGCGGCTGCAGGAGCTCGGATTCCGTCCGTTCGCGTTCGAGCAGCTGGACTCGCACGGGGCGGTGAACATGACGGTGCCGGGACTGGCCGAGCCGCTGACCTCGGTCATGGAGGTGGTTTTTCTGAACGCTGGAGAGCGGGCCCAGCCGACATTGGCGACATCAGCGCTGACACTCAGGGGTCTTCGGAGTTGAGATAGTGCAGTGATGGAGAAAAAAATTTTGCTGGGGGGGGGGGGGGGGGGTTGTACGCATCGGAACCATCGTACAGCAGTACCGTGTAGTGCGGGGGCAAAGATACAAGTTTTGTAAGTCCACAATTATCTTCAGGCAGATGGTTCTTAGCTCAATGAGCATATGGAGTTCAATCTTTCCGTCGCACAATGCAATCAGGTCAGGGGTGCAGACCACCGTTGAGTATTTTAACCATGAACCTTTCAGTGCTTACCGTCCGTTGACGGCGTGCATGGCACTGAGTGCCCTGTATGAGTGCCCAGTATGATCATACTTTTCGTGGGAAGTGGTCAACACGACCGTTGGCACCTAGCGGGTCTCCATCCGGCTGTCATCAGACATCCGCAAGACAATTTGTATTGTGTTGTCATTGGAGAGTAACGATGCACGATAAGGTGAATGTGATTGTAGCTGTGCCTGTTGACTGAAATCTCAAGGAAAATATTGGTGATACTTTTGTCCCAATGTTTTTGTATTTCGCCGACTCAACATTGCAAGGGCGTTCTTGAAGCCTTCATGTTTGGTGAATACCACAATGAAACGCTTGCTAAGTTCTGATCAGCCTTTCATTGTGTTGGGCGTGGGAAATGACAGGGCGAATGAAAACACGAGAGCGCAGCACTTTGGGCGTAGGAACAGGGGACGAGAGAGGCGCTTGACCCCATAAATTTTGGACCGGTGGGCGGCAACTCATATTTAGATTGGTATTTGGGCCTTTGACCTGATATGGGTCCCATCCTTGCTGTTTTCTGTGTCTCAGCGTTTGTGCTCGTGTTGAAAAGGCCAACATCTATTTCTACAGAGGTTTTTGAGAAAACAGACGCAGTCCTTTTCAATGATATGACCCTAGACCCACTACATCCCCATAAATTGGCAGTAATGAGGGACCTACGGATGGTTACCTGCCAGATATAGTTCTTGTCCTCATAAGATAAATTGTAACGCCACATCTGTGTAATGTGTATCCAAAGTATAACGTTAGAATAAGACATTTGTTAACAATCGCTAGAAACTATTCGCGCTGCGTTGCGAATGTAACCCATGCCATCAATACACGATTTGGGAGCCACAGCTACCGGGGAAATTAAAGCACCGCACCGCCGGTGTGTAAAACGATCACACAGTCATTAAACTGTAAACATTCACTGAAAAATGCGGATGCTGTAGTACTTGTCGCAAAGCCGCCCAGAAAATCGCCCTGTTTTGTGAGAAATCTCCGGCTTTTGTTCCCAATTTATTTTGTCAGGCTCGTGCCAAACCGAAACAGTCAAGCGTCATGGCCAGTTTAGCGTGCGGTGTGGACGTATTGTGCGGTGTGGACGTATTGTGCGGTGTGGACGTATTGTGCGGTGTGGACGTAATTGTGCGGTGTGGACATATTCTAACTGTTACTGTCCGGAGAGTTCTGGTTGTTCCCTTAAAATAGAACACCTTTCTGCTTTACAGGTGTAGTTTGAAGATATGCTGTCCATTTTCCTCAATATTAATTCGCGTACATTGCACGTGCCACGATACATATATCCGAAATGTCCATTAGTGCCGAGGTTTTGCTGGATTAAAATGGGGTTGACAATCGAGATGAAGGGACTCTGTGTTAAAAAACAAGCAGCAGTCAAATTTTTCCAACAAACCAAATCGGAGCTTATTCACCGTTTCGTCTTAACACGCTCTCGGGTGGCCGACTAATTATCGTTTGCTTGGGTAGGGGTTAACTTGACCCCCCTGACATCCCAAAAATCAAGAACGCCAGATACATCCAATTCACGGGGTGGACTAGCCTATATGTAGATTTACGTGTGTCACAAGTTGGCATTCTTAGATCATGAGCTTTTGGTCAAATAAAGCCAAACAATGTCAAACTCCTGATTGGTGTCCAAAGAGCCCCAGACCTCCTCATGCAGCCGCCTTGAACCTAGATGATAAATGCTCTAAGCAAACGTTCTCTGGTTTTCATTCGAGGTCAGTGGCCTTCTTACGTTAAACAGGTTAAGGTGATCAAAAACTTAAGGTGCTCTTTCTATTTTGGCATTTGGATAAGCGTCCGGGATTACGCTAAGCGTAATCTCTGTTCCTAAAAAAAAATGTTGACCTAAGCATTGTAGGTCAGTGACCTGCTCTGACCTTTGAGAAGTACATGGTGCATGTGTGTGGCGGTCCCTGACGTTAATTAATTCGAAATGAGCGCCAGGAACTGCTGAAAACAACAAGCCCTCTAGTAAAAAAACAGATTAGCTTTAGCCTTGGTCTAACATTTATACCTGACTCCAGGTCAATTCATTTTTAATTTCATAAATTCAGTTGTTTTATTGCTTAAGCAAAATTTTCAGAGAGGCATGGCTAGGTCCGGCAAAGCGTTGTCACAACAAATTGAATGATTCCCTAGAAATCGCCTTCTCCGACAGCCACGGCCTGACTTTAACCTGCCATAGACCAGCAGCCTCACAAGGTACATCACATTTGGTTACACCAAAAGATCCACTATTAAATCGTCTATAGCTAGAGAAAGTTTAGTGCGGCTCCGCAGCGCTGCTTGGAGATAGTTTTAGAAAAACCTGCAGGGGGGGGGGCGGTCAATTTGACCCTACCCGAGCACGTCTTAAGGGGGCAATGCTCCAAGCAGACAATCACCGTGTCGTTAGATCCACACATTAAGAAAACATCAAGCAGAAGTGACTTCTGCTATTCGTTTCGATAAATACATGTTGCTGAAATATCAACGCATCAGTATCTCCATTCTCCTAGTTTTTCTCCGAATGATAAGGCTGTGAATACTGTCTGTCTGTGTGCACAATGCTCTTGCAAATGTACTCAACAACTTACGTAACGATCATGGGTAAGTAATGTGCACCACATGCTTGCGTCAAAAATATTCACAATTCACAGTTCACAACGACGGCAACTAAGCTTAACTGTCATTAAAGCTCGAAGATGACGGCTTAGTCGGATAACGAGTGCCAACGAATCGGAGCAAGGTTAGCACACGCTCGGGCGTGGTGGGGGATGGGGGTGCGGGCAATGAAACACACGCTCGGGCGCGGTGGGAATAGGGGGGGGGGGGGGCGGGGGGATGGGGGTGCGGGCAATTCGACCCCGAAGGTTTTACAAAATTTTAAAAACAGCTCGGTGTAGCCACACCAAGCTTTGCATGACTGTAAAACAATGAATGTATATTTTTTTGGAATGCAAATTTAGATTATATTACAAGATCGCTGACCTATGCCAGGTTAAAGCCAGCCCGTGGATGTCAACGAAGGCAGTTTCTGGACAGTCGTTCAATCTGATGCAACGACGGAATGTTAGACGAAGCCATAGTCTCTAAAATAGTGACCCCATCAGCCATCTTATATGAACTTCCTAAAGAGATCAGAATAGGTCAATGACCTAAGATGACCAAGATCAACCTTTCTTGGCCAAAGGAGGGTAAAGGGGGCCAAAGTGAGCCACCACCCGAGCGGAGGATATTCAACCGGCCATCTGGGCGCGTGTTAAGTAATGGGTATCACAGGCTCCCCTAAAGTCATTAATGTCGTTGCCCTTTCTATCAATGCTCTTTATAAGAGAACATCTTATCTCATGTTTGTTAAACAAATATTTTATGGTGTCCTCTGTGAACAACTTAATTCCAGAATCAGTTATGTTGAAAGCGGGCAGCATATGTCAATTACGGCGCCGTCCAACCTGCGGCACCACAGAATGATATCGGTCGCCCCCCAAAAATGCAAAGACTTGCACCTTCTGCTGTGCACCGCATGGGTGACGATGTCTGCGTTTGTTCTCATCGGACCATTCTGTGTCGGGGAAGATGACACCTGCGTAGCTACGGCGAATGTGCAACCGTATATAGCAGTCCTGGGAAGGTTCTGATAGCATCTAGATAGAGCATGCACGCTTAGGCGTGTCAGTTTGTGGTTTTAACAGGCCAGGAATATGTAACGTGACCATGCTACTGTCGGCATCGCTACAACGGAATGACTGATTTGTTTGTGTTTATCTATGTAATATATCCGCTCGGCGTCCTACGTGGGCACCAATGACAATGCTACTTGAATCACACTGGATCTCATCCATTTAGGCTTCATAAGTGCAGTCACTGACATTCTGAACTGCTGCTAATCTTGACAGAAATGAAACGAAAAGGGGCGATTCAATGAAACCATTAGTGCTCTATGACCCTGGGATGGTCTCAGGGTTAAGTGGATCCGAGAGCCGTCATCTCTGTATTGGCCCCTGAAATCATGCCATTATATTTTTATGGTCAAGCATTCACCACGAACACTAACTTGATGTCATGACAACGCGAGCCCATGCAGTGATTTTAGGCTTGACTTTACAAAGACAATCTGTGTATCTTAATGGTTTTACTTTGAATGTGCTGTTCTTCAGTGATTCTATGATTTGCCACATGGTTTTAATCTTAGTCATCCCTCAGTACAGTGTATCCAACTCAGGCAGAAGGCAGAGCTTCTGCCTGAGTTGGATGCATTATACAGTTGGCAAATATTCCATGGCTTTCAGCTCAAGATCAACTTCAAGACAACTCAAATGTAGGCACTTGTAGGTACCTCAGGCCTTCGAAAATTTCCGGCATCATTGCTTCTTAGTTGATATCGTGATCGTAACAGAAGACGCTGTGCGTGCCGAAGACCGGCGCACGGGTGCGCCGGCATGGGCGCCTATAGCATGGGTGGCGACGGCCGGTGGATGGGTGCACCAGCGGCCGAACGGTCGGTGCATGGGAGCATTGGTGCAGAAATACGGAGAGAAAGAAGTGGAGAGGTCAGGTGGCTTTGAAGAGTAATAAATGGGGTGTGACGATGCGTGTCAACCCCGCCTATAAAAGAAAGAGAAAAGCAATCGCTCAGGCACCCCTGTTTAGCGCTGTGTGGCGGCAGGTGAGCACACAGGCACCCCTGCACAGCGCTGTGTAGCGGCAGGTGAGCACACAGGCACCTCTGTACAGCGCTGTGTAGCGACAGGTGAGCACACAGGCGCCCCTTT